GCCAGGACGCCACGGGGCGCGTCCAAGGGATCATGGGGCATGACTGGAAAGCCGCCCATGACATAACACATGCATGGATAAAATGATGGGGCACAAAGAATATGAAAGAAGATGAAAAGGCATAGGTGTTGAAAAGGTCTCGTTAGCAAGGATGTAGGAAGAGTCTGAAGCATTACAATAGCAAATGCATGGATAAAATGAGGGGATACAACAAATATGAAAGTAGTCTAAAAATGGCATAATATGCATTAGTTATTCAGTTTAAGAAACGGTTGATTTTCTAAATTAAGAGGTGTATATAAGAGGTGTCTTTTGGTTGTTCAAGAGGTGTATAGCACAAAAATTGAAGAAAAAGTAAGAAAATCCAAAAATTTGAGATAAAAGATAAAAGGCTTTCTTGGCTTTAGAGAGTGCCAAGCCACCTCCTCTATGTCCTTCCATATATATATATATATATATACATGAAGATGGAAGGTTAATTGACTTTTGTTCAATTGGTTGTCCATTATCATAGTTTAGGTTCTTTACACCTCTTAAATATCATCTATCTTCTTCTGTCTTCTCCTAATTCTTTGTTTCCCTTCTCTTTTAGTGTTTGCTTTGGTTTGTTGGTCGTCACCATGCCAGGGTTGGAAGATATTATAGTGAAGCTTCAATGGATGGAAAATAAAGATGAACTCATAAGTCATAAAGAAAGCAATTGTCATATTTTTTGTGGCATACCTGTGTTTTCCTAAAAAAGTTACTCTTATAGGATATCAACAATGATTCAGGAGATGATAATTTCAGCTGGGAATCTCCACCTTTTTATGATGTGGAGACAGATAACACAGATTTCAACCTTTCTAAGTTTCTGCCAGACGACGATGAGGAACAGCAACCACTGATTGTTTAATAGGAATTCATAAGAATTTAGCCAACAAGAATTTGATCAGACTCAGATTTATTCACTAGCAGATCCACAAGGATGGAGATAGCCTAAGCAAGAGTTTTTTGGTGCATCCCAACAATCATGAATTCAAGTACAACAGCTTTGAGAGTCAAAAAGACAATCTCTAAGAGACACGAACTTCAATCTAATCACATTAGGGAAAATCCATGAAAAATCAAAAAGTTCCCTTGTCATGAACATGACAAGATTATGGAGGTAAAGCATGCAACTGTGTAACCGTGATGTGATACCGTAAATTTAGCTTATATGCTATATAAGCAAATGATTACTGTACAGAGGGCAAGAGATGCAAATTAAGAGAGTTAGCACTTATAGAAACTCCAGTTGGCAAGAAAAAAAAAGGAAGGACAGAAAGGATCACCTGGACATCCTACTGATCAAGGAAGGCCAAAAATGAGGAGAAATCTTTTTCCAACCCAAGGAGAGCTGATGCCAGAGGGACAAACAAAGTTATTGTTCAAGTGTATTGTTCATACTACAGTCAATCTGATTTACTTTTCTTTAGTCCCAAGGTAACTTAGGAGTTACCGGAATGTAGCTTAGGAGTTATTAGACTGTAAATTCTTAATGCTGTTATTTGATTAGGTGTAATGCTCAGGTGTTTGTTTTGTAGTTTTAGGACTCTCTTGATTAAGAAAAAAATGGCAACCCTAGTTTGTTTGGGATTTTAGCTTGTAGACGACAACTTTGCAAGTGTTCAACCTTTGGTTTTCATGTTCTTTTCCTTTTCTAATCAGGGCTTTCATGTTCTTTTCAAGAACTTTTAGGGTTTTGCTAAAAAGTACTCTCTTCATCATAATCTTGGCCTTTGGTTCCCCTACAAACTAGGGCTTCAACTAGACTTGAAGCATAAGAGACAGAAAACGGAGAAAGTAGGTTTGCCTAGACATTACCAAATTTCTTTTCTTTTTTGCATTCCTTTTGTCTTCATTGTCATCTTATTCTTCTCAATTTTCCCATCTTTTTATTTCTCCATCTTCACCATCAATCTAAGCATCCGCCTCCACTGCAACTGAGCAGATGCTACCCGAATCCTGATCACCACCACTATCGTGCCTGATTGACACCGATACAAAGGGGCGGGAGAGATCATTCATTTTCGTCCTTTTTGTTACTATGCTTCACTAATGGGAAGACAAAAGATAGGCGGAACCCCTGATGCCCCATAAAGACAAGTGTCGAGACATATTTCTCTATTCTTTGTTCCCTCTTCTTAGTCTCTTTGCAATGGCGCAAAAACCAAGTGGATTTTCATAGTTTTAAATGTTTAAAAAAAAATGTGTAAGCAAAACTTTCCAAAGACTAATCTAGAAGATTAACAACTAAACAAATATCCCTAAACATGTGTTTCTAAGCAGTTACTCACCGATTCTAAAAGCTGGTTCACACTTAGAATGTCAAGGGAATTGATGGAAAGAGAGGTCTTTCGACCTGATTGGCTTCCATTAGCATCTGAAATTGCTTCTTCATCTATGAGGGAAGGAGGTGCCATGACCTGATAGAGTAAAGAAACATAATTAACTCTCTTAAAGAGCATATTTGAAAGCCATGCGGTTGGGGTGGAAGAAAAAGTTCAAGAGCCCTCTCTTTGTATCACAAAAGAAAAAGTAACCAACTAGACATAAATATATGTATATGTCAAATACAGAAAATGATTCCTATTCAACCTCATCAAAAGTCTCAAACTCAATCTGAGCAAGTGGAGAGCAGGGGTGAGGTGTTTCCATATACAAAGGAATTCCAAGTGGATATGCATCGTCTGGTTCAAACCTTTCCAAGAGTTGTTTTCTTATGCTTGATAACTCATCCTGGAAAACATTAGCCAAAATTCAACATCCTGTTCCAGAAGAAAATGAGAACAAATCCTGTACTAAGAAGCTCATGTATTTACTAAGAAGCTCATTTATTTACTAGTTTATAAACCATAAGAGGGATTTTTTTTCCTTTCCTGGGTATAATCATCCAGTATCTGGAATGCACTAGCCCGACTAATCTGGATACACACCGCGTAGGGCCTATTAAATGAGAAGCACTCCTTACCAGGAGTTTCTCCATTCCCCAAAAACGTTTTACGAAAGAGGAAAACAAGAGAATATATTGACAGCGGATCCATTTTCCGATGAGTTTGCATAAACAAGATACAACATGTTTGTAACTAGAGCAGATTATGCTCCAGTCAAAGACTTTCATCCTTCAGTAGCAGAAAACTCATGGAATCGTTTAAGATAACTGATTCAAATCATGCCTTAGTATGTGGATATTAATTTCATAGATTTCAGGTCACATTTCGAATCATCTAAAATTGATGCAACATTATCATATCGATAGGCTAAGTAGCAATTTTTATCCAAACAAAAGCTATTTATTCTACCTACTTTTATTTCTACTCTGTTAGTTTCTAAATAAGTCGATAAACTTCATTGTTATAACACCAAGTCGGTGTCACAAAAGAATGTACTAGTAGTGTCTATGACTGAACCTGAGGCAACCACAATCTTCCATCAAATTACCCAGCTATACAACGTGGGTTCTTTGCACCAAAAATAGAAATTTAAGGAGAAAGACCTTTTATGCTTTCTACATCGCTCTTGCTATTTTGAAACAATCTTCTTTCTACTCTAGATAACTGCATTCAGCCAACAAATTAAACTAGCTATTAACGACCCAAAAAAAAATGTCATTAATGTGTATTAGTCTGTCTTCCCAATAGACCAAAGTTCCTCACCACCTATGAGGTTATGAACTTGCATCGTACATCAAATTTTGAGAAAGTCGATACCTCTGACAATGTTCTGCATTTAGTTGTGAAGTGCAACATAATGATTTCTTTAAATTTCTCATCATCTAATTCTACTGCTGACAAGGATTTCAAAGCTGCAATTTCATCTTCCGGTGACCCATAACCATATGCTTCGCTACCAGATGCTTCAGATGCAGCTTGCAGCCTGACATCTTCACCCAACTTAAGATAAGGATCAACCTATTAACCAAACACTTATCACATTTATTACATTTATACAAATCAAATGATATTAAAAAACATGGAGAGCTGATGAAATTTGGCCTAACAGCAAAATTGGAAGAAATCAACTAATTATCCAGCAAACTAAACATAAACTCAAAGAGGCTTGGGAGATCAACCATTTCGTCTGTCAGTGATGATTCAACCACACGAATTAGTTCAGGGAGACTTCCCGCCCTTGCTGAACAGATGAGCATATATGATGCCAAAGTAAATAGAGACCTTCTTCTAGATGGTTGTAAACCTCCTTCAGTAAACAGTGAGTAAAATAATAGTCAATATTTGCACCAAAAGACATTAATTCTGATAAAATTAAAATTTTCATAATGCAAGATACAGAAGTAATCGTCGACAACCCAGTCAGGAACTTCAAGTGATTGAAATTTTTATCAGGTCGTAGTACTGATGCCAATTTATTCTGTGAAACCAAACTAAATAATTCTAAGCTTGTATTCCCCAAGTATGTAAAATGGTGGAACTTGATAGTGAACCCAACTCACCTTCTCTATCCATCGAAATACTCCTCAGAGAGAAGGCTAACTGAAAAGATCGAACAAGCGCCATGTGACTAGAATTCTGCAATTAGCAAAACTAACTATTATGTGATTGATGAAAACAGTTGCAGAACAACATAAAAGATGGAGATCAAGCAAGATAAGACTTATAACAGTTTGTCTAGATTTCAAAATAGCCTTTGTCAGAGATTTCTTTGGAGAAAATAGTTTGTGCAAAAGAAAAACCTGTTTGGATAATTGTAGTTTCTTGAAGTTTTCTGAATGTTGTGTGAATGGAAATAACCTTTTGGTTATAACTATTTCCTCAAGGAACTTTTTCACCCAGGAAACTTTTTCGAGAAAACACACTAACCAAAGAACATTTACAAATTTATTTCTACTTTTTTCAACACTCACACGTCCAAACAGCACCTTACAAGTGAGACAAAATTCATGAACGTTTCCCCATGCATCTCTGGATAGAGTTAGACACTTGGGATGCTATAAAGAGAAGGCCAGAAAAAATAAAGAAAAGAAAACATTTCTATGGTCAAGGATTTGTCACTAGAATATTCAGAACTGTAACTGCGAAAACGTATATGACAAAAGAGATTGGTTTGAACCTTTGATCGACTGAAAAGTAACACAATTTTGTATGTATGGGCCATCGCATCAAAATTGGAAGGTGTATTATCAGTCAGTGTTGCCTGAACCCAGATAGATGAAAGCAGAAGACTCATTTGGTGACTACTCAACCGAAGTGAAGTGAGATCCTGGAATATTTCAGAGAATTAGACATTTAATCAGCTTAAAAAGAAAAACAAAGTCATGGATATTACTTGCAATTAAAAGAAGACATTAGTGCTTCCATACTGGTTTCCTATCAGGGAGAGCATCCTTGAAGCTACAGGATTGACTTCGAGATCGAGAATCAGCAGATTGATGTGAATGGCGACTGACATCTTCATTTTCTTCTCCCACTTCTCCATCTCTGGAACCATTTTCATCTGTGTTTCCATTTTGAATGGAGAAACTCTTAGTTCTCACCTTAGCCAACTTCCTTGGTGATTGGACTAGAATACCCTGGGAAAAATTTCTACTATGTAGAGATAACAAGTGACTGACAGGTGCCATAAGCACAGTGGAGAATATATGGTGTGCTCCAGCTCGTGTTTCATGGTCAGTGTGTGCCATCGCCAAGAGCAAGTGGTGAAAGAGGGCATCTGGAAAAGCCTGAGGTCGATTGAAAGCATATTAGACCATTTGCAATACATAAAAGTTAAAAAACCATGTATCAGGAGCTCTACAACAGATTCTAGTTACCTTCCTGTAATATGACACATTAGGAATGCAAGAGACAATTTGTGCTGTGCGATACACAACGGCAATCATTGTTCTAGCTGCCACGATGCTCGCTGGAATGTTCTCTAGCACCATGCCCATCATATCAAGTATAGGCCCCATATCAGCAACCTGTTAATGACATAGATGTCATTATAAAAACACTGCCTTCACGTAAAACATACTGCACATAGTATGCTCATGCAAATCAGCAAATGAAGATCTAAAGTTAGAAGTAATAATAAAAATACACCATTCACCGTATAACGGCACTTGGTTCGTGCACTCTCCCAGAGGCAAGTAGGATGTTGATGCTTGCTATCAATTGTACTTGGTGATAGCAAGCAGCTTATAGCGAAAAACTATAGAAATACATTGAGCAGACAAACATTAAAATCAGAGATAGAACTTATCCCCAGAAACTATAAAAAAAAATTGACCAACTTATTATCAACACAGTTTTGTCTGAAAGCATCAACATTGGCCTTTGAATAGCGCCAGAAGCTAGTACATAGTCTAGTGAGTATGCCTTTAGAAGAGTAGTTGCTGAAATTTGAAACCTAGTCCAAAGTAGATCATTAGAATTACTTACTGGTATAAATTCTAGGAAATCAAAAGATTTCTATTTCTTTGAAAAACTTATTCTCGTGATTGAGTGAAAGAGAAGTAGGCCAAACAAAGGACTACACAGTGTTTATCTTGTATTCACTTGCAGTGATTAAAACTAACCCTCTCCTTGGGTCTAGTACGTGGTATCAAGGTTATTCAACTCGTAGCTCTAATAAGCATGCATTTCTGGTCCATACAATTCCTTCTTTTTTCTTTTTGGATGAAGTCTGGTCCATACAAATCTTTATTGGCCATGGAAGCTATAGAACAAAACTTCAACTCTCAAACTACAAAGTGAATTGTTTCGTCAAAGACATCAAACAAGAAAACATAGAGAACATATGGAAACAGAATAAAGGATAGCGGATTGCAAGTAAACTTAGATGAAGCCAATTTACTTCATTGACAACTTGCTCAAACAAAAGAAAAGTTCAGAATATAATGCACATGCTTGCAGCCAATTGAAAACCAAATTATCCAAGACAAACCTTATTTGAGAGCTGTAATATACACCTCTCTAAGGCAGACTGAAGATTGGAGTTAGAATTATCTAATCTGTCTTTCGAACTAGATGCTTCAGCTGAATACTGCATGCACTTCATTAAATGCTTAATCAGGTCACTAATGACACCAACTATTGTAGTGGAAGCTTGCTCTTTTGCATTTTCTGCCAAGTGTGTGACCACATTAACTATACTAATCTGTATGTCAGGCTGCTTGACAATGTTCTTATGATCCAAGTGCTTGACCAAGATGGATAGCAACAAATGGGAATTCTCACCTGGGGTCAAAATCTGTGTAAGGGAAAATTGAACGAGCAACAGACAAACAAAGAACAAGGGGCCCATGAATCACCTGATTCCTCTAACAAGCACTGCAAATCCATGAGCACTGAGCAGGCGAGTCCTTTCTCTGAAGCCCAATAGTTTTCAGTGTCAAAACAATGATAAAGAGGTTCAAGAACCCGCCGTACACTAGTCGCTTCTTTTGTCAGTAAGGCCATGTTACGTAAGCAAATTCTGGCCCAATAAGAGGGGCTTTTGGTTGTTTCTCTGATTAGAGTTAGACAATAATATAAAGTAAGACCATAATCTATTACGGTACCAGGCGGAGAATATAATTTTGCTTTTTTAGGTATATAACCTTACATTGAGGATGTCAATTTTATATCTGCATTCATGATATTTGGCAAGGAGGAAACCTTCTTGCTCATATCAGGGAAAGATGAGCTGTGATCGTCACTGTTCAACACTCCTTGAATCCACTGTTCAGGTTGAGATTGTTTACCATCTTGTCTGCCATTCTCTAGGTTCACTGTGAAAGTAATGTAGTTCTCCAAAGTCGCAGTGATAATCTGCATTATTTTCATGGCAACATTAGAAAAACAAACTGGCAGTTGGAGAATTTCATTATTCGAAAATTGAATAACTGAGTAACATTGAAATAATCTTACATGATCGAAGTCCATGGAGATGTGGGACTGCTCCCCCATAAACCACACCTAAAAGAAAAAAGAAAAGATGAAAACAAAAGAAACACAGGAAGAGAAAGATGAAAAAAGGAAAAGTATAGGCTCCACAGTGTAGCCTAAAGAGAAATTAGACAAATAAAAGGAAACAAAAATATATATGCACTTCCAATAAAATTGATGCACACGAAAATGTGAATGTGTAGCTATTATGACAAAGTGGTCCTTAAGCTTCATGACCTTAATAGCATATAAGTTGTTTACTACTTTAACCTTATAAACAAATAGTGAACCCCACACTAGATTGAATTACCTTCCCTTTACCTGTTCTCTTCAAGAACTTTTTATCATCTCTGGATGCACAGCATTAAAGTGAATTTCTTAAAATAACGGAAAGGAGTAATCTCTAACTTACTACTTGAGAAATTAGAGCTTAGACGTTATGAAAAAGCTTCCTATCCTAGTTACAGAAGCCGCACTAGAAGTAGTGAACCAAATAGGCACCTTTCCTCAATTACAATACACTTGAAACTTCCTAATTTTATCGGATGTCCCTGAAGGGACAGTTTTATACACTTGAAACTTTTACAGTTACTAGCTAAGTATCTGTGTAAACTGGTCGAATTAGCTGGCAAAACATGACATATAAGTAGATATTTACCATCAATTGAATAAGGTGCCTCCCTGTCATAATTTCCGTGTCAATGAGTTTGGACAGGCACAAACATCGAGAAATTAGTCTTTGAAGTGAGTTAAATTATCCTGACACCAAAAAAAAAAAGGTACAGTGCCACATGCAATTGTCACGAGTATAAGAGCAGCTATCGGGAAAGGTTAATCAAGGATATACGTAACAAGCTTTTATCACCATATATGAGCACCTCCTAGTTCTAACTGGTGCAAGACATGTCCAGTCAATGTTTTTGAGAGAGAGAGAAGCGCAAAAAAAGCAACAAGGGCCCGAGAGAGAAGCGCAAAAAAGCAACAAGGGCCCGCTTCACTTAATGTGAGCCACAATGTTAGTAAAACAACAAATGCAGCTAAATCCTTCAAAGAAGGTAATATCATGTCCATGTCACCAAGACCTAGTTATTCATAATATCAGAAAACACCCCAAAACACCTGAAGTGGTTCCAAGTTCAGGTACTTGAGATTTGTGCAAGTATAATGAAATAAAAATATAGCAGAGAGAGAGAGAGAGTTGTGTGTTTTTACCAAGACAGCCAGAGTTTGCATTCCTACAGACCGCAAGCGCAGGGCTCTGCCATCATCTCCAATTTCTCGAGCTAGTTGACACATTTTAGGTATAAGGCCTTCTAAGTTGAACATATACGTACCATCCATCTGCTTAATATGGAAAAGGAAGAGAGCTTAAATCCACTTTTTAACAGCAACCCAAAATATTTTCCAGGTTCTTCTAAACCCATTTATCAAAACCACACTCCATTGTCCTTCGCTCAGACCACTTCCATGGGGTAAACCCAATCCACCAAGAATAAAAACCCAAAAGCGCCCCTTGTTGGATAGGTGTACTAATATTTCTCTTCTCATCCATCAAAATTTACATCCTCCTCATGGTAATATAATGTACTTGCAACACTATAATCCTAAATCCTAACAGACATCAGTGCTTGGTACCCGGCTAGAGGCTTCAAACTTATGATAGATCAGTAAAAGACACAATGATGCATTACCAAATTACTCAGTGGCATTTATATTCCACGACTACCCAGTTCACGTTATTGGTTCAGATACATGAGCCGAGTACAAGTACTTCAAAATACTCTTTCATAAGGATGGTATCAGTACATATTAACATCTATTTTTCTTCGGCACACAAACCTGGCAATTGATGAAGTCGACGAGAGTGTTGCAACCTAAAATCTGCATCTCATCATGCTGCGTCTGTTCAAAAAGAGTGCGGATAATCCCCAATAGACTAGTAGCATATAGTGGCCTGCAGTTGTAAATTTAAACCATTACATTATGTTTGAACTGCATAAAGTGTAAAAGTAACTGAAGTAATAATTGTATGCAAAACTTTAACTGTATCAGTGCAATAGAGTAAAACTGTATATCACATGCATAGATACTGATGCTATATCGGAAGAACATTTCCATCCAAAATTAACTTAGTCAACTAGATCATCATAGATAGTCCATTTCCAAGTCAGAAATTTCCGCGAAATAGCTAACTATTATGACTTGAATTGTGTACAGACATATTTGAGGTGGCATCTACAGGGACTAACAAATGTTATTTCAGTATTATGATTCATTGCCTCAACAACAACATACCCAGTGTAGTCCCACAAGTGGGGTCTGGGGAGGATAGAGTGTGCGCAGTCCTTACCCCTGCCTTTAAGAAGATAGAGAGGTTGTTTCCGGTAGACCCTCGGCTCAGGAAAAGATAAATGGAAGGGCAATAACAAGCAAACCAAATCTGACACCGAAGCGAAAATGCTAACAGAACTAACACTAAGAAATGCAAACAGAAAATCAAAACAAGGCAGTAACAAGTAATAACAGAAGTCTATGGATACGAAAATACACAAAAGACACTAAGTGATGTATTAGAGCTGCTGCTACAAACACGGACAATGCTCGGCTACCTAACTTGACCTTTATACTCAACCTCCACACCTTCCTATCCATGATCATGTCCTCAGTAAGCTGGAGCGACGCCATATCTCGCCTAATCACCTCTCCCCAGTACTTGTTCGGCCTACCTCTACCTCTCTGTTGGCCCTCCAATGCCAGCCTCTCACACCTCCTCACCGGTGCATCTGGTACCTCTCCTCTTCACATGGCCGAACCATCTAATTCTCGCCTCCCTCATCTTGTCTTCCACTGGAGTCACGCCCACCTTGTCCCGGATAACTTCATTTCTAATTCTATCTAACCTGGTATGCCAGTACATCCATCTCAACATCCTCATTTCAGCCACCTTCATCTTCTGGACATGGGAGTTCTTGACTGGCCAACACTCCGCTCCATACAGCATAATCGGTCTGACCACCGCTCTATAAAACTTTCCTTTAAGTTTTGGTGGCACATTCTTATCACACAGAACACCGGAAGCGAGCCTCCATTTCATCAATCCAACCCAATACGGTGTGTGACATCCTCGTCGATCTCCCCATTCCCTTGTATAACTGAACCAAGATACTTGAAACTTTCTCTCCTGGGGATGATTTGTGAATCCAGCCTCACATCTTCGTCCACTTCCTGAGTCACGCCACTAAACTTGCACTCCAAGTATTCTGTTTTGGTCCTGCTTAACTTGAAACCTTTAGACTCCAGGGTATGCCTCCAAACATCTAACCTCTCGTTGACACCACCACGCATCTCGTCAATCAATACGATATCATGTGCAAATAACATGCACCATGGCACCTCCCCTTGAATGTGTCACGTCAGTGCGTCGATCGCCAGGGCAAATAGAAATGAGCTGAGGGTTGACCCCTAGTGCAACCCCATCACAACTGGAAGTGTTCTGAATCCCCTCCAATTGTCCTCACCCGAGTCTTTGCTCCATCGTACATGTCCTTAATAGCCCTAATAAAAGCAACAAGAACTCCTCTAGCCTCCAAACATCTCCACAGCACCTCCCTCGGCACTTTATCATAAGCCATCTCTAAGTCGATAAACACCATCTGTAAATCCTTCTTCCGCTCCCTATACTGCTCCATCAACCTCCTAACAAGGTGAATAGCTTTTGTAGTCGAACGCCCCGGCATAAATCTGAATTGGTTCTCTGAAATCGACACAATCCTCCTCGCCCTCAGCTCCACCACCCTCTCCCATACTTTCATAGTATGGCTCAGTAGTTTGATACCCCGATAGTTGTTGCAATTTTGTATATCACCCTTGTTCTTATACAGCAGGGTCATTGTACTCCATCCCCATTCCTCGGGCATCCTCCTTGTCCTAAAAATGACATTAAATAACCTAGTGAGCCACTCCAAGCCCGCCTTACCCACGCACTTCCAGAACTCAACCGGTATTTCGTCTAGACCGGTCGCTCTTCCCCTGCTCATCTTATGCATAGTCCCCCTCTACCTCCTCAGCTCCTATACGCCTGCAATACCCAAAGTCCCGACGACTCTCGGAGTGTTCTAAGTCACCCAGCACAATGTTCCTAACCCCCTCTTCGTTCAAGAGTTTATGGAAGTAAGTCTGTCATCTCCGTCGAATAAGGGCCTCATCCAACAACACTCTATCATCCTCGTCCTTGACGCAATTCACTTGATCTAGGTCACGAACCTTCTTTTCTCGCACCTTGGCTAGTCTGTGCAATTTCTTATCTCCTCCTTTGCTTCCAAGTTCTTCATACAAGCATTCAAATGCGGCAGTCTTAGTCGCGGTAACTGCCAACTTCGCTTCCTTCTTAGCCACCTTATTATGATTCATTGCCTCGTTTCAAGAATAACTAGATCTCTATCAGTAACGTCAACACCAAATATAGGCAACAGGAAGCAAGAATATAAGTCACCAAGCAAAAGTGGGGTGAGATTAAAACAATCTCATTAAGGAAATAACATCTTAAATGAAGCAGAACAGAGGTAGATTGTTTTTCTATTTTGACAAGTTAAAGTATGAATCGACGAAGATGTTTTGATTACAGGGATAGGCTATCTGAACCCTTTTAATAAGATTTTTTTTTTAGTTGTGACCTAACTAAGACAAATTCAAAGTAGTTCCAGCATCCCGAACTGGAGTTCTGACCAGCTTGCTCACGCCTCTCCATTCATTAGGTTTCAGGAAATATTTAAAACTAGGTCTTTATCTTTTATTCTGGGAGGGGATAGGTACTTCGTAAGGTCAACCGTTCCCAAATGACTTCCATAACAGTTTCTTAGAACAACTCTTATGTTTGCTTTCTCCAAAAGTTGCTTTATAACTCCGAACTCTTTTATATTCTCAAAAAAGTAACAGACAGGAACAGTTTATCAGAACAGGAATAGATCTAATGTGGATTTCCATCAGGTACATAACTCTTGATAACCAGTTGAGGTCTATCTTCAGCCCCTCTACAAAGGGAGAGGAATTTACTGCTGAGGTTTCCGTTCTTTAAGTTCTAAATTCTTGTGTACCTTTTCTTTCATGGATAAATGGAACTTTATAGAACTGCACCATGGGGTTGCAAAAACCAACCTAGTAATTTAACAGATATGCATATAAGAAATGAAGAGCCTTTCTAGTTCGGTTGCAATAGAGAACGTTAAATCTAGCTTCTTCACTGTTGCCAAAACAACTTATAAAGCAATCATGTGATGATCCTCCTCTACACAGAGATTTTAGAGCATAAAGATAGAGAAGATCCAAATTTCTCCATATAGGTACATAAGTATCAAACTTACATGTGCTCCTTACATGAAGATAGCAGCTTCCTGTAGATGACGGTAACAACCTTTACGGAGCCAAGGTGCTCATTTCGCAAATCTTTGTAACACCTTTGCTCCAGGTATTCAGTAATCTGAATCACATTGATCAGAAATTAATTATTAAGGGAGACTCCTGACACCAAAAAAGCTTTCCAAAAAAAAGGTTAATATTATATTACTACCTTAGGAATGCGGAAAGGGTTTTTGGAAGCATACTCGCAAAGTTTGGCAATCTTTCTATCATTTGGCTCAGCATCCTGCAGAGAAGAAAATAAAGTAACAGCCAAAAATTGAGATACGGCTATAGGTATAAGTCAACAAAATGGAGGGACCTGTGATTTGGGGAAAATCTCAGCAAGGAGCTTCTTGTAGCGTTTAACAGGCTGTCTGGACCTTGCGCGCAATGATGGGCAAAAGAAGCAGAGATTACCACATGCTGGCACTACTTTCCTTGACATCACCCCCATCCTTGAAACCCAAAATTCTAATTTAACTTCTTTTCTTCAGGGTCCGTCCGTCCCTCAATAATGTCAAACTACAAGCATCATCATGAGATTAACAACACAAATCCAAGAAATCGAGCAAAAATTAAATAAACAACACCCACCCACCAATTGAATTCAGCACTTGAGATCTAGATCCACCCCAATGAGCTCATATCTCAAAAATTGAACCTCCTTCTTCTTCTTCGGTTGCAAATTGGACGAACTTGTCAGGCAATAATTAATTGTTTTAGCAACAATGATTTAATAAGAAAATTAAAGTTTTCAAACAAAAATTAACAAACTCTTACGTCTTATTTTTAACTTGGGATTATTAAGTCAAAGGGGAGGGCAGAGGATGACAACTCTCCCCCCTTGAGGTTTTTCTTTTCCAAAACAATCCGTGAAAACTGAAAACTAGTGTAATTATTACGGCAAAGCAAAAATGAAAACTAATTATTCCAGCAAAACAGAGATTGGACAAATTATAGGATAATATATTTTTCAAAAGTAATTTATTTTCTATGTCCAAACAAGGAATATCTATAAATACTGGGTGTCACCAACATACGTGAAACGGGCAGGTCCAGCCTGGACCAAGTTAACTGTTGTTTGTCAGTAGTGAAATAATCAAATTTAATATTTTACTTTGGCAGAGAAGTTCAACTTGGACCAAATACTATTTGCCACGCCGAAAAGTAGAGGAGCGCCACATAGCGCCCGGTGCCTTAAAACTTGGGATAAGTGTACTCATGTTTCTTTTATTCTTAGCTCCCGCTTGCCATAAATGTTTGCTTCATTTGTTTATTAAATATGATCATCGCATAACGCTTATGTGGACTGCATAATGGCCCTCCTGAGCTGGGCACTTCTGCCTCACTTTGCGTCCAGTTTGCGGTCCACAGACCAATTCTGCGATCGCATAATGCGCCGCAGAATTCTCCTCCGGAAATTTTCATGCTGGATCTGCGACGGGTTGTGCGGCCTGCGAAATGATTATGCGGCCGCATTATGGACCGCATAATGGTCCGAAAGTTGGCCCATATTTGTTCTTCAGTCTACGGCAGATATGCGGTCCACAGATCAGTTCTGCGATCGCAGAATTGTTTGCATAAATGCCCTGCACTTCCAAAAATTTTCTTCATCTCGCCAACACAAGCTCGCCACGAAGAACCTCTACAATCATCAACGCATAAGTCTATCTCGACATCACAAAACCCCAGATTTTGGGTGAAATTTTTCGTTGCCTTACATCCTCCCCCGCTTAGGGTCATCCATCCTCGAATGAGGGTCAAAATTCCATAACACACATCAGCAGTTCCAAATTTTTGACTTACTCCCTAAATTTCCAGAAATTTCGCTAGAGCTTTCCCTGTAATTGGGGCCTATCCACCTGCCAAAGTATCCCAAAATCATTCCTAGCAATATAACCACAACACAATGATCTAAAACAATTTTGGGAAAAAAAATTTAAAAAATTTAAATTTTTAAAAATTAGTTTAAGGCAGTTTTTTGAGTGAAAATTTTTCTTCCACTTACAAGACTTCAACTTCTTTAAATAAAATGCATGTCCAAACACAATTTCAACTTTCAAAAATTATTTTTCAACACAACTTCAAAAACTCTTTTTTCAAGTTTCAATTAAATCTACGTCCAAACGCTAGCTTAGATTTGGACCATGCATGCCCCATGGTAAGAGAAATCTCAAAAGGGTTCAAAATTTATCAACAATCACCATAAAAGATAATAAATCTTTCAAAAAGTAGATAATTTCATGAATACAATGACAACATTCTATACATAATTACATAACCCACTTTATACTCGGAACTTCTATGACAAAACTACTTAAACGTATAAATAAACTAGACTCAAGATGCCCGCTGAAACAAAAGCGGGCTCACCATAATCAGCTAGATAAGAGGGGTAGATACACAACGAGTAACCAAACAAAAGTACTCATATACATTGGCAATTTCTTCACAGAGCATGGAACAAGACATATAAAGAAAACATGGAGAGACAATATGCAAATTCAAAAGTTCAAAACAATAACAATTTTATTTTATAAAGTATTTGAAAGTTTGATCATTAAACAAGCCATACTTTTAGGGGGAAGTCTATTAATTAATCACTGACATAATTACTAAGCCATCATGTGCACGACATGGAGTCCGATATCGGCCAGTTCAACTAAGTCTTATCATGTGGTTCGACATTCATATGCTAGCATTTCATTAATCCCAGCCAAGGGAGACTATCTAATCGCCAAAACCAATAGCATGGCCATAGTCTTATACCAGCACGTCTAACTTCGGGTATCGGGCACCTTCGGCCAATACCTCCTTGGTTATATAATAAAACTTCGAAAATATTTTATTTTATTTGGCACCTTTGTGTCACGTCCTTAAACTTAAACTAAGCGCATGTGCGACGCTTGACAATTTGCTCACGTTCTTGCACAACTTGCTCACGATCTTGCTATGTCAAGTCAGCCTAAACTACTATACTCAAGATTGCTAAGGGAATGTTAGATAAGGAAGACGAGAGAAATTTGCCAAAGGACGTTTTTTTATCATAGAGAACTTGATTGTTTTGCTTGGTGAGTTACAAATGAATGCCCCCTATTTATACTAGTCACCTAGTGGCTAGTGTGAATAATAATTATTCCACAAGTCCTTCCATATTTATAAATAAGTACACTGATGTCGTGTTATAATTTCATATATTTTGACGTTATTCACCCTACTTGCTTGTTGTTTGGATGCTAATTTGTACGACAATTGAGCTTAATAGAGTTTATTTTACGTGTAGGAATGCTTGGATATGAACTGGAAAAAAGTTGCACAAAATGGTACCTCGAAGCTACAAAATGGACCAATAAAAGAAGACGTGCAAGGCAACGAAAAGTCACAACCCTAGATAGTGCAAGGCTTTGTCCAGGGCATTGTCATTGGCGCCTCTGATGGCGCCTCGCGTGGTAATGTTGGTGCCTCTTATGGTGCCTCGCGGGGTAATGTTGGTGCCTCTGATAATGCCCCGCGCCGACGATGCTTATCCGAGCCACTTTTATTTCCTCATTATGTTTGGACATGTACACCTCAACCCTACCTTATAAATACCTTCTAACCTTAGTTTTTAGAGAGAAGAACATAATTGGAGAGGCAAAAGGCCACCGAACACGTGGAAGCAACGAATCACAAGAGTTTTCTCTTCTGTTTTTCCTTAATCTGTATTTTAATGCTTTTAATTATTATCGTGATTGTTAGTATGGTTATGAGTAGCTAAACTTTCTCATCTAGGGTTTGATAGAACCTCTTGGAGGATGACTTTTAATTATGTTTAATATGATCTAGCCTTTGGATTTCTCTATTTGTTTAACTATATGCTTATTTCAGTTGATTGAATGGCCATCGATTGACTTTGCCTATTTAGTGTGCATTGCTTGAGAAATGGTACATATTTAGGTAGTTGATGAACAACATCACTTTAAACGTATTTGAGAAATCAATACAGAGGGTTTAAAGGTGGGATTAGAGATAACGAAATCTTGGTGTGATCTTAGTGAGCGGTGAACTAGTGTCAGCTAGCGTAGTTCGAGAGAATATGTCTAGTAAATTGGGGTAGTTGCTCGAGAGAGAATTACGATACCTGAAGCGCTCAGGATCAGTAGAGGATACTTAGGCGATATTATAGGAGACATAGCGGGAAGGATTCAGACAATTGGGGAAATCATAACTCTATGCCTCCTTAATCTTGTCCCCAAAACCTTAGTATTTTTAGTTGTTAATTTACTATTTTAATTTGCTAGTTAAATAGTAAGAAAATAGAATCTTAATATTTATAATTTAAAAATTGTTCGAGCTTGTCTTCTTAGTGATATTGAACTGCTATAGCAAAATCTTAGTTCTCTGTGGGATTCGACTCCTGACTTTTAGATCGGATTATATTTGCAGCGACTGCTTATCCTTTTTAGGACTAGAGTTGGGCATGATCATACACCCTCTAGAATTTTCTACATGACTAGAACATTCCAAGGCTTTCCAAAAGAGTCCTCCTACCCAATTCATAAATATCTAGAGCTTTCCCAAGGAAACTCTCCATAGTTCTAGAATATTCCACCAAGAGCTAGTCTCAAACTTATGTAGCCCTTACACATGGCAAGTATATGTGTCAAATGGATCCTATGTGGCATGATAACATGGTGGGTCATCACATTTGGCTCTTTATATATTATTTGGCACTTATAGCCCTTAAATCATAATAAAATCTTTAATCTTAGGCTCAATAGCCAGCATTTTATTTTTTAAAAAAAACTATAACAACATGTTCATTTGTAGTCTTAAAAATATTGATAATCATAACATCTTATGAAATATTGTATTTAAAATCATATAATTTAAGGAAACATGAATAGTATACCAATTATACACTAGCAATTTAGAAGCCATTTAGTCCTACAACTAATATTTAGAAAAAATAAAATTTTGATAAAAGGTTTTTACTGAAGGGTAACTCAATATACTTTAGATACTCTTCTAGCTAACAATAACTTCAATTGTCTAAGAACGTGTCAGTAAACTCAAACGACTTTTATCTACATAGACGAACTCATATCCATCAATAACGCCTTGAAATTATATCAATTAAGTCAACTAAGTATGTCATACTTAGGTCCAGTCTCACAACTTTCTTAAAAATCCATATTTCTATCACTGAAGGTCAATTATTGAGTTCTAACTCTAAATTATTCATTATATACGTTATGGAATATAATCCCTTCATTAGAATCCCCAAATGATATTGTATGGGGTAAAATTGGTTAGTGACAGCTGGGCGAATAACTGAATGACACGTGGAACTAAAGACAAGTGGGACGTGAGTCAGCAAACAGCTGGTACCGGATGTAAGCATGCAATCGGAGTCTTAAAAATATTGATAATTGTTACATCTCGCATTTTGTATGTTAAAATTTTGTCATAAGTTAATCGACGTAGACTCGGGAATGAGATTATTTTGAGATCATAAGCACTTATGCTATTTGTAACAAGTGATAAGTAAGTGTTATAAAGGTCAGAGGATTAACGAATCAAAAAAATTGAGTATCGCCGAAGTTTGTTATTTTGGGATAAAATACGGTCTGAACTATAATACCCGATATTTATGGACTAGTACCATACAAGGTACCATATGACCGTGATAGTATGATGTATAAAGTATATTAAAAATGAGTAGTATTTTAAGTAATTTGAGATAATTTTTAAATTATATGGGTAATTAATTAATTATTGGGTAATTAATTAAAGAGTGGGATAAGATTTAACCCCTCCCCCAACGTGGCAAGTATCCCTATCAATTTAGTGACTAAGTAATAAATGATGCAGGGTGTCACACTTTGAAAGAAATGTGACACCAAGCATTAATTAGGTAAGGCCACCAAATGATTAAGGATATCTTTCCTAATTAAAAAATTATCTTCAAGTCTCTTGA